CTCTCTCTCTCTCTCTCTCTCTCTCTCTCTCTCTCTCTCTCTCTCTCTCTCTCGCGCGCGCGCGCGGGGACATCATTTGATACTGCGACCACTTGGGAGCAGCTGTCGATATACATTAAAAGGACTACAGCATAGATGCAAAGAACTCAGGATGTGTTTATGTTGTAATCTCACCATGGTGTAGACAGTGTTTATGCTCTAGTCTCACCATGGTATAGACAAACTTATATAGGACAGACGGGAAGAACAATTGACGTTCGCTGGAGGGAGTGTGCTAGACTGGCACTCAGCATGACTGCAAACAGACAAAATAGCATCAGCGAAATTCGGCGTGCAGTAACGAACATGATCACACAGATCCCGGTGCACTTCAGAGACAAGGAACTGATCTCCTTGACAAAGAGCAGATCGAAAGTGTTTAGTACTGTTTACTGAATAAATCAGGAAAGAAATGGGGATTGAGATCTCACGAGTGCGGCTGACGCTCCCCAGAATGGATATGGAGCCAGCACGACCAAAAGGACCTGTTTTCAAAAAAAAAAAAAAAAAAAAAAGAAGAAGAAGAAGAAAGATCTCACGAGTCCGGAAGATAAATTGGACACTCCAGGAACTGATTAGAGCTCCCCCTCATTATGAAGTGTTTATTGTCTACGACTCTATGGCACATTAACGGTCATAGTTTTGGTGCATTGTCGTGTTCGCACTGCATATGTGTGTTCTCAGACTGTCACCAGAACAACAACCCCCTTTACACCCAGATGAGTAGATCCAAAAGGACCAAAAGTAATTAAAATTTTTAAAATCAGCCTTACCTTATAATCTTCTCTCAAGTTCTGTGTGCCTGGCTGTGTCAGTGTGCAAGGATTGATGTTGGCTTTCCTTGCCACCGTCTAAGGGCTTGTGTGGATCCCATCCCCACCCCTGCCCCTCCCCCTCCCCCTCTTCTTTCCTTTTATTCTGTTCATCTGACAGGATGTGGATTCGAATTTGGGTCTGTATTTCAACCGTTCTAAGGGTTGTTTTCTTGTTGTTGTGTTTTTGGTTCTCTTTGCCTCAGCTCGATGAGCAGAGTGCAATTCTGAATCTCAGTATGGGGATGGGGATACGACTAGACCCCACTCTCAAAGCAAGATTGGATGAGACGGCACAAATAGGGAGCAATGGTACACACCTGAACGGTGGTGACAATCTGTCAGGCAATCAAAAGAAGGGACAGGGAAGCGCTAATTCTCGGAGAACGGAAATCTGTCATGATGTTCAGAACTCTGTCTCTCGCTCCGGTGCAGACACAAGAAGCCAGAAGAGGAGCCAACTACCTCAGGTGAAAGACGAGGTTGCGTTGACGCCAAACTTGACGGAGAAAGAAGAGAATCCTTACGACACTCCTTTGTGTCATCGTCAAAACAGCAGCTTATCAGCGAGCATACAGCCATCACGACAACTGAAAGCGACAGCGGCACAATCTCTACGGCATCATGACGAAGGCCAGGGCCAGGAAGAAGCCCAAGGCCACATCCAACTGAGCCAATCTCGGCAAATTTCTGGTGATGACAACAGATATGGAGATACCTTCTTTCTGTCTAATGCGGGTGTGGTACACGGCAGCTCAGAACGGGCTGCTGAGATGTGGGCTCCTGCTGCTCAGCATGCGCCATTTCTTCGGAGTGAAAGGCAGCTTCGAGTTGGAGACAGCGGGAAAGATGAAGCTCTGACGGGCCTGCTTCGGTTGCAGTCTATAGCAGAGGGGAGGGAAGAGGAGGAAAAGGGTGATAAGGAGGAGGAGGAGGAGGACGACGATGACGACGACGAGAACCACGACGGGGACGAGGAGGAGAAGGAAACGGGAGAGCAAGCAGGTGGTAAAGGAGAATTAGCAAGGTGGGAAAGTGGGGGAAGGAGGCCATCGGAGCATAAAACAGAACATAGTTGCGATCAATTACAAGGCAAATTGAGTATGTACTCTGAATGGCAGCACGGTTACGGAGAGAAAGGGGTAATACAAAAAGAGGAGTGTTCAAACTTGTCGAAACGGCAAGGACCCAGCGGGCATCAGACAGAATTGGACAGCAGCAATTTGTATAATAGCAAGGCAGGAGGTGGGAATGAGAGGGACCTGCTGAGACCTGATCACAATGATGGGCAAGAGACTCTCAGTGATAGGAGAAAGGGCGAAGAAGAGGAACGTCTTGACGATGAAGGATCGCAGAAGGGAAGTGCAAGTTACTGTGCAACTGCGCCACCTGCGAGAGTGGTTGAGCATGGACAGAAAAGAGGGCAAGAGATCGTAAAAATTGAAGATTCGCAGGCACCACTGCTCTCTCATGGAGATGAAGGAAAGGTGCAGGACGCGGATCGGATCATCCAAATAAAAGTACAGAAAGAAGAACAGAAGCTTGGAAATGACCCTGCCGTGGAGTGCTCTGTTCACTCTTTGAGTTTGAGTGACAAAGACGCCATCCTGGTTAAGGAGAGGAAGAGGAAAGGGAAGAAAAGGGAGCATCATTCCAACCAGATGAGAGAAGGTGACGAGGAGAAAGACGAGGGAGAAAAAGGTGAGAGTCTTGGCAATGACCCCACTTTTAAGGGGTCGGTTACCGTTTCAGCTGGCGAAGCCATAATCCTGGTCGAGGAGAGGAAGATGAAGAGTACCTGCAGTCAAAAGAGAGAAGAAAAAGAAGAAGAAGAAGAAGAAGAAGAGGAGGAGGAGGAGGAAGAGGAAGAAAAGGCGTGGCACAAAGAAGAGGAGAGGTTGATCGAGGTCATCAGTAGAGAAGAAGATGGTGTTTGTAACGACCTATACAGTCACAAAGGTGATGCGCAGACCTGGTGGAATGTGAACGCAAGGCCACTGAATGCAGAGAAGCATCTTCAGTATTGTCTTAACAACAGCAGATCTACAGAGGGGAGGGTGGGAGGTGCGATGGGTCAAACAGAAATCAGGGAAGATGATGAAAAGAGTGCAGATCATAGATTGGAAAACGTTGATATACGTTCAGTTCCAAAGTTGCTTTCCCCAACAGTAATCTTCCGTCACTTTCCAAACTCTAATAACATGAATACGTTCGATCGTTGTGATCAAAATGATACAAGTATGACGAACCTGCAGAACAGGCTTCAAGTCCAGGTCCAATCTGAAAGGATCGGTAGGGGAGGTCTGGAGCAGGTTGTGGACCACGAGGAGCTGCGATCACGAGAGGAGCTGGATGGAGTCAGTCAATTGGGAGATGGAGTTGCAGACCCGGTCATTAGAACATTGACCGTTCATCTCCCTCCTGACCGCAAAGATCAGCTGATAGGAGGAAGTGGCCCCCAAGTCGAGTGGCATCCGGATTTCGCTCATTTCCGGTTGTCAAACGCAGTTGCAGGGACTCAAAGCAACTCTGACGTAAATGTAGTTGTTGCAGAGAGTCAGAGCGGATCTCAGAAGACAGAAGGTATGAACAGTGAACGCGATGATCGAGGTCAACTTCAAATGGGTAGGAGTTCGATCCGTATCCACAATCATCATGGTTTTGAATCCCAAGAAATCAGCCAAACGGAGATGGTACAGATCAGGGAAGTAACGGTAGGCCAGTGCAATCCCAGGGAAGTGTCAGATAGTTCTAAGTTGGACTCCAGGCTGGATGGCTGGAGCAGTCCTGCCAGCAATGCCATGTCAGATCGAGATGGCTTCAAACCGCGGTCAAGCGAAAGCCCATCGACATGCGCCCATGATGAGTTTCGAGGTAAAACCTCTGACAATGCTCCGCGTTGTTGTCTCCCCACGAGCAATGCCGTGTCGGATCGAGATGGCTTCGAACTGCAGTCAGTGAACTCGAGCATCATACTTTCAAGCACAATCCCATCGGCACAGGCCCATGACAAGGTCAGGGGGGGTAAAACCACTGACACTGCTGCTGGTTGTCTCCCTGAGCATAACTGGATCACCAAAAGATCAATGCCACAATCTAAAGATTCTTGTGAAGACAGACAGCATCATGGCTGCGAGCAAGCGATGCTGTCTGTAGCGGACGGCCATAACGCTCTCCGCAGCGTTCGCAGCGGCACACGACACCCCGCTGCAGGGGACAAGTTGGCTCCTGAAGAGAATCAGCAGTCGACAAGCGGTAATGCTGCTCCTTCTTCCGGTGAAACGCCGCATCCCACTCATCTGATGGCTTCGGAAACGGAGTCACCCGGAGCTCCACTCATTCGCTTCGCATGTCTGATCAGTCGGGGGGATTTTCCGGAGGGCAACCGATGGCCGGAGAATGGACACATTAGCGATGATGACTGTGGGAACACCACTTCCAGTGCAAAGAATAAGTATTATAATGATCGTAGTAGCGTTGACGGCTTCCATGCCAAGGACAATGATTCTGCTGGACCTGCGCCTAGTGGTAGCCGTCGTCAGTTTGAGAACGATAAGCCTGGCTCCTTCCATGAAAAAGATGCCATTCGAGTCGGGTGCGGGAGAGGGCAAGCTGTCGGCTATGGTGTAGGGGATGGAAAAGCCATAGCCCGGGCAGTTGTTGATGCCACTGGGAGAGACTTGAAAGAGAAACCAGCTGGAGCTTGCAGTCCGGCAATGCTGTGTGATGAACCTGATGGTGAAAGTCAGACGACTCGGAATGTGAGTCCGCAGCCATCAGCAGAGAGAGAACATAATTGCAGTGTAAAGTCGGATCATCAAGAAGGAAACAGAACGCGGTCCCGGAGTTACGATTACGATCGTGGATGGCATGATCAGAAACATGGCGAGCATATGGATTTCAGCCACGTAATCCTGGCAGACAGCTGGGGGGTCAACTCTCCCGACTCTCTCCACTTGAACCTGGAGGCAGTCCAAGAAGGGGATTGCGAAGCCAAATGTCGTCAGTTCACCGACTTCACAGCATTTGCACAGCTGGCTATCCCAACAAGCCCTGCATCTTTTATCTCCCTGCCTCAAGCTTGCCAATCATCTCATTCGTCAAGCTCCCAGGGGGGCGAGGAGGAGGAGGAGGAGGAGGAGGAAGAAGGGGAGGCCAAGGAAGAGGAAGAGGTGGGAAAGGATGAGAAGGAGGGCAAGGACGAGGAAGTGGTGGGAAAGGGTGAGGGGGAGGGTAAGGAAGAGGACGTCCAAGGAGGCGGTGAAGAGGAGGCAAAGGAACAGGGGAGGGAGGAGAAGGAGGAGAAGGAGGAGAAGGAGAAAGGTGAATCCCTCCATTGTCCCACAGGAGGACAGCTCGGTCATGGACCACTCGACAGCAGGAAGAATGAAATCCAATACCTCTCACACTTTTCTCAAGCTGGTTCAGGATCGGTAATCGTGACGCCTCGAAAGAGGAAGCGGTCGATGTGCTCCTTGGCATCACCATTGTCGAGATATAGTATGACCGATAGTGTAGTGTCAAAGGCAGACATGCAGAAACATCAAGATGAAATGGAAGGTAGTGTGCAAGCAGAGCAAAAACCTGGCCGTCACTCGGTGCTGGTAGAAGGTGCTAAAGGACATGACGATGGAGGAGAAGAATGCAGGCGAGGAGGAGGAGGAGGAGGAGGAGGAGGAGGAGGAGGAGGAAGAGAAAGAGGAGTGGGAGAGGGTGGAGTAGAAGAATTCCCTTATGGTTCATATGATTTCACAGACTCCTGTGCTGCCATCACTCGAACGACTTTCTTTGACGCCGACAAGCTGAGACTTCCCTTGACGGAAACCACCAACACTATCAACTCAAAGCACGAGGACGCTAACCATGCCCATTGCAGATCTGATAATGACAGCGGACGCGATCTTCTTGGAAACGTACATCACAATGCTTGCCAAACCTACGCTGGCGCCTGTCTTTACGATCATCTCGATCATAAAAGATATACGCATACGTGTGTTTCGAATGATGGTGGTCATTGCAAACATGATGACAAAAATGATGAAAATGATGGTGGTGAGGGAGAGGAGGAGGAAGAGGCGAAGGAGGAGGAAGAGGAGGAGGAGGAGGAGGAGGAGGAAGAGGGGGAAGAGGCGAAGGAGAAGGAGAACAAGGAGGGCATCATGACAAGGTCCTCTAGGAAATGTGGTCCTGAAGGGGATAAGCCTGTTGCTCAGCTGACGTCAGGCGTCAATCCCAACGCCAGCTGTTCCCAATACCACCGATTTCGGTGGAGTCCATCACTCCCAGGCATCGTGAAGGAAGGGGACGTCTACAAATCAATATCCACATGTGCCAGTAAAAATGATGATCAGGTGCAGACTCCAGATTCCACCCAGTTGAACGCATCACCGCCGGTTTCAATAACAGGCCAGGTTTTCGTCGGGCGATCGTCCTCTGGCGTAATGAAGGACCAGGTCCTTACGTTTCCGGAATGCGACGGGGGCGTGAAGAAGAAAGTGGGGCCGAGTCAGACGGAGCATTTGGCAGCAAACATTGATCCATCTAACGGCCAGATACGTCCAGACTCTCCAGATGCTGCAGAAAAATATAGCGAGGACAAGGAGACCATAAAGCCTGTAGCGACGACTCCGGTGAAGAGGTCTCCGCCGTGGACAAAATACTGTGCCCAGACCGGAGAGTTTCTGAAGCAGCAACCGCTAAGAAGCTTTCTCAACAATCCCGCGGCGCTTTGGGACTGTACGAGACCGGGATCTTTCAAGCCAACACAGACCACGCTTAAGGCTCCCTCCACAAAATCGAAGGTACTGCTTGAGGTCAGTTTTGGATAAATAATTGTTTGGTGGATTAGACTAGAATCCCCCTAGATGCTGAAGTACGACCGCCTTCACCCGCATAGAGCGCCCGGTCATTATCGCTGTATGTGGACGGCAAGTTCGCCCAGATGCGGCTAAAATGACTAGGTGTTCTATTCGGGTGCAGACGGTCGTATGACATTGCATTAACCTTTTCAGTGTTTCACAGTTTTTTTTTTTTTTTTTTTTTTAACCTTTATAAAGGCAGTGAGTCGATGTCACTCGATGACCTTGAGATATTATCATGGAATTGACCGGTCCAGGGTCCCAGGTAATTCAAGAATTCTTTAATTGATCTTTTTTTCCTCCCTTTTTTTCTTTTTTTTCTCTCCTTTCATAGATCTAGTAAATTAGTAACTAGTTATTTCTGGATTCAAACTCAGGGCTGTATTTACTATTTATTATTTAAACAATTCATGGGTGTACCAACTGATCTAGGCCAATCAGTTTTACGTTATTTTTCGATATTGGTTCAACACTTCAAAAGCGAATCCAAACATAATAAGGTCATTCCTCCTACACCAACTGACCTTGGCTTGCAGCACATAGTAGGGGGCTACAATATCATTGCAGGGGGGGG